ATCGGGACATTCCAATTTTCAACGCGAGTGTTGAGTGTTGAAGTCAACAATTTGACGTCATCAACGACGTTCCAACTCGAGTACGAAGTGCTTAGTTCCCATAATTCCATTCTCAGCAAGATGGATTCCATTCAAATGTCTTACCAATTACCCACAATTCATTGGAAAGTAGCAGTCAACATATCTGTTGAGTGCTGAGTGTGTTGAGTCAGCGCTGACAACAGCGCTACCTCAACGTTGAAAAAAGGAACGAATTTTAACGAATGTTGAGATCAGCGCTGAGTCAGCGTTGAAAATTGGAATGTCCGGCTTGCCAAAGTTCCAGAACTCAAAATTGCCTCAACAAGAGTACCTTGTTTCTATATACAATGGCTAACACTACACATTTCTATCTCGTTGTCTGTAATAACAATTTTAGTACCTGTGCCGCAAAAGATATTTAAAGGAACAAAAATTTGTTGAAAAAATAACATTTTGGCTCTTTTGTAGCCCAAATGTTTTAATCATGTTAACAACAAATGTATTTTTATGAGTTTTTATTATATAAATAATTACGAAAACTCTTTATTTGGCACATATTAAACATTATTATATTAAATATATTAAACATTTTATTATATAATAAAAATTTAAGGAAATTTAACGTAAACCTTTAAGTAAAAATTAATTTGACTTACGTAAGAATACGTTTATTAAAACTCCTTTAATTTAAAAATTAATAAATAAAAAATGTTTATAATAAACTTGTTATAATTATTTATATATTCGACATTTTTGGAAAACTTTCCAAGAGAATCTGGTACATTGGAAACACGTGATTGCACCATGTGCTGGGAGTTTTGAATTGTATTTATAGTTTCTAATTTATAAAATAAAGTTTCATTATAAGAAGATTAAAATGTTATTGCTGCTATTTATATAATATTTTTGGATTATGCCAACAAGTATATATTTGATGTCATCTAAATTGTTAAATATGGCAGAAAATACCTTACCTGCATTATATCCTTTATGGCATACATCAACATTTAGTAATCACTTGTGTGCTTTTTGTGTTATGGACTTCAGTTTAATTCCTGACCATGGAGGCACTGGAGTAGATGTACATTTTGAATCTGAATCATTAAATAGGGAAAATAATTGTTTATTGTCTGTTTTAAAACATGAAAATACTAAAAACTTTGTGTCAGAAAAATGTTCACTTCCCTTTACCCCTCCAAATATGTTAGAAGAGTTATTTGATCCTTGCTGTGAACAGCTGTGTCAGTTACACAGGCAAGAGAAACAATTTTATAATAGTTTATTTCGTACTGTACACAGTAAGAGCAAGGCCAGCAAAAAGTTTTATCTTAATTTTGAGAAACAGTTATCTAGATCCAGTATAAAACAGGAAGAAATTGTAGTACCAAAATCATTATATGAGATGGCAGAAATTATGCCTGAAAAATTACCTGTTCCCAAAGAAAACTGGCTCTATTCTGGAGGATGTCTCAGTTGTGTTAAATGTGTAAATATAAATGATGATATGCCATTACTAATATATCCAGGAGGAAAACATCTAAATGAAGTTATGATAACAGAACTCAGTAGAAACTTAGATAATGATAAATTTTTTAATTATTCAACTAAAGAAAAGATTAAAGTTAATAATAATATATGTCAAATATATTCACAAGCATTCTCAGAAAAAATTTTATGTTCTGTACGAGAAAAAGAACGTTGCAATTTTTTATCAATAACTTCAGATTGTGCAAGTATTGATTCTGTTTTTAAAATAATAGATGATAAATTGGCTTATTGTTGCTTAAGTCCCTATATAATGGGTGAATATGCATTATGTACTCAAAAAGGACATTTAATAATTAGGAATTTTGATAATGATAAAACATTGTGGGATTCGGAATGTAATGATAATATTAAGATTCAAATGGAAAGATTGGATTCCTGGCAAGGGTGCTACTTTGGATCACATCCACGTTGTATATCTTATTCTAATAGTACTACAGTTTGTCTTGCTGATATAAGAAGCAAACATTCCAAATGTTTGGAATTGTTTCCAATTAAAAGTTTTTTTCTTTTATCAAAAGAAGAAATTACTTTTTCCAGACTAAACATACATCAATCTTTTCATCACTATGTAGCAACTACAAATCATTTAGTATTAATTGATGAACGTTTTCCTAAAAAACCTATTTTGATATGGAATCATCTTTTAGATTCTTCTCCAATGTATTGTGATATACAAAAAATTGATGATTCTAGAATTCAATTATTATTAGGTTCACATCTCCCACAACAAATTTGTTGTTTTCAAGTAAGTTCTTCCAATCAAATACAGCCAATTTCAGATATGTCTCCTTGGCATCTTTCAAAACCAAAAGATATAGTCAAATATTTAAAATTTAGAGAAAAGATCTGTGACGATACAGTTTTGCAACGGCTCTCGATGCCTTTAATCGGAACTTGTAGTACAATACATGATAATGGGTTTGTGACTTTTCAACTATCATCTGTAGGTGATATATTTTATCAAGACTATTTTTGGAATCTAAAGGAGAAAAAAGAACAGCAATTTGATTCTAGTTGTGAATTTACAGGTCCATTTGAAATGTCTGATATTGATTGGTGGATAAAAGAAGCATCATTAAATGAAATTCCTAATGCAAAATGTGATTCATCCTGGGAACCATTTTCAGTAGTTGATTGCTCTGAACAGATGAATGATATTATTGATAATTGTATTTCTTCAAAACATTGCAAATTCTGTAGTCATATTAAAAGTACAACATTCAGTAATGAAGAAATATGTCCATCCTGTAATATATGTACAGAAGATAGTAAATCTATATTTACTTCCTTTGATGATAAAACAGTTATCAAAAAATTACCTTCATTGTGCAATAAACAATTTTCATTTAAATGTAAAATTCCCCCTTATGAAGAAATGGATTCTTTATCTAAAGATATGTATGATGTATGGTTCAAAGAAACTACAGTTCCTATTAGAAATGAAGTTGAAGCTGATTCTAATTTAAATTATAACATTTCTTGTGATAATAACAGTTATAATAGTAATCTTTTGAATGAAAGTATGATTAATAATGATGAAATGGAAGATATAATTCCTCCTAGTCAAGAAATTTCAACAGTTGGTGGTGAAAGAATTAAGATACGATCACAAAAAGTTTCTTTTGTAGCAGGTTTTTAAATAATAATAGTGAGACAAGGCGATTTAAAATAAAGTATTTTATATTTTTAATGAATGACTATTTGAAAAGAGTGAAGGTTGATTTTATAATTTTTTAAGATAAGTAATTTTGAATGTATTGATTTAGCCTAAGAATTATGAGCAAATTTTTATATTGCAGTCTATTATATAATATAATAAATTAGTAGTAACACCACAAATTTAGCAAGAGAGGGTACAACTGAAAAAAATTAAGAAATATTGAATGTTGTTTGAATTAAACTACAACACAAAAGTACACAAATGTGTTATAAACAGAAGTGTCAAAAAATTACATCTATCTAGTAATGTATAGCTCCTCCATGAGCCTGATTAACAATGCCTACATAATGTGGCATACACACTATGAAGTGTCTGAGTTGCACAGATAATTCAGTTCATACATGCTCAATGGCTCTCCATAATTCAGTTGCAATTGTTGGGTAGTTCTGCAAGGCACTGAGTAATGTTTGCATAGTGTCCCATAAGTGCTCTGCAAGATTCAAGTTTGGTGGTCGAGATGGCCAAGGAAGTAACTGAAAATTTGTCAAGTGTTCCTCGAACCATGTCAGTACCACCAGTGTCTTCTGGGGAGTAACATTATCCTGCTGGTACAAACCATTACCATTGGAGAACATAGTAAGCATAAAGAGGTGCTAAAATCTGTCTCAGGATTAGTGTATGTCACACCTGTCAAAGTCAACTGCAGTCTTATCATCAATCTCTGTTCATGCCAGCAGAATGGAACTCTACCAGCTTGCACAACTTGCCAACATGATGGATCCATGGCTTCATAAGATCATTGCCACACACAAACATGACCATTAGCTCTAAAGAGCTGAAAACGAGATTCATCTTACCACACAACATAGTGCTGATCATCCATTGTCCAATTTTGATGTTTTCTGGTCCAGGTGTATTACCTGATGTCCGGATGTTAGTGATAGTACCCAAGTGGGTTGGCAATTACCAAACCAAGGAATGCAGTGTACATTGTACAATGAATTGACTGATGGGTTCAACAGTACCCATGTTGAAGTCTGATATGATTTGGTACAGAGTTGCTCTTTGTTGCATGGTTACTAACTTGATTACCTGCCAACAGCCACGTTTTTGCATCAGCTATGGGCACCACACTGTGCATGTGGTACTGTCATCTGTCTGGAATATAAGAATTCCTGGAAGATGTTTCACAAGAAAATCCAAGAGCATTAGCCACCTTGCTGATAGAGTGATCCATTCTTCTTGCTCCAGCAATCAGTCCGAGATCAAATGGCGATAAATCTTTTACAAGGCCCATTGCTACTCTAACCAAGTTCATATGTAACTGATAAGTATAATACCTATGGCATTACATGCAAATGTTCCAGCTCAAACATTCCCCAAGAGTAGAAAGTAACAACATTGCTTGTGCTGCTGTCTCTAATTTTTTGGCATGTCAGTTTATGTTATTGCGTATGCTTGTTTTATAGCAGTTGATCTATTATATAAATAAATATGTGAATTCACTGAATAAATTACACACACAAGTTTGAATCATTAGCTTCATATGAATGTGAAAGGAAAAAATTTCATATTTGAAAATGGTTATATACTTTAATTCTATACTTATGCAGTTACTGGTTTTAGTTTACTTTTACATATATAAACAAATTTTAAAAAATAAATGGATAGTATTGGCCATTCTTTGGCACAAATCATACTGTATTATAGACTGCATTGTAAAATTTCAGTCATAACTTGATTCAAAGTATATGGTATTCTGTTAAAAATCAAAATAATGGTCAAAACATTAAAGTTAGTTTGGATTATTAAATTGGTTATTTAAATAATGGCGTTGTATTCCATTCAGACACATTTTTTTCCTCATGATGTAATGGCATAATTTAGACTTAAGATTCGGAAGTTAGATATGATGAAGTCTTAATCCATTCTCCCAAAATTACTACATTCTAGGTTATTTACAGTGAAAAGGGAATTTGTCAAATTAAAATGAATTTAAAAACTTCCTAACTATAAGAAACTATAAATATATACTAGAAATCAATCATAACTGTAATAAAAAGTTAAATGTTATTTTAGATTGCAAATCTGACTAGTTCAGAAAGTTAAAAATACAGGCTCATTTCAAAATGTTATATAGTTTGTTCTCTAGAATTGTAGACAGAAAACATAAAATTATGTATTTTTTGTTTCGTAAGCATGATATAGTGCAGTTAAACAAACACTAGACATCATTTCATCAGTTTATTTGTTCTCTTCTTAGTTGATGCCTGGTGTTCTTTTAACTGCACTCTATTGTGCTCATGAAACAAAAATGTAGAATGACACAGTTTTAAATTAGTACAAAAATAAAATTATATATCTTTAAATGAAGGAAATTATTGATATGATATTTACTGAAATATGATTATACAAAGTTTCAATGCCAACCTTACTAATATAATATAAAGACAATTTGCAAATTATGTTTAATTCTAATAATGATTAAGAAAATGCATTAAAAATAGTACTTTAGAAGTTTTTAACAAATAATTTTTTCACAGTTCTAGACTATTCGTTTGCACAAAGATCTGTATATGTATGAAATTACATCCATAAAATTGATTATTATTAAAACAAAAATTCTTTATTGAAATAATAATCATTATAGTGAGTTTTCATAATAGTAAGAATTACAAAAATGTTAATAATAATTTAGTCCAGATACAGAATTTAATAATAATTATAAATTTTTATTAATGCTAAATAATAATTTTATAAATTATTTTAAAACATATTCAGGGTATATTGAAATTTTTTATTGAGAATTAGTCAGCTGACTCAAATGGGAAATACTTAATATTCTTAAAACGGTAGCAAGCAGTAAAGTGATAGAATGTAATTATAATTTTATGCCATCAATTGTAGTGGAAGAAAAAATTAAATCCAATGTAATACAACAGATGAGAGTTTTAGAAAAGAATTTAGACAATTTTAAAATAAATGCAATATCTTAAGTTGCATTTAAAATGCAGTATTTGATTGATTGATTGAGTATAGCAATTAACAGCACAGATAAATCTTCAATAGATATTCATATAAATTAGAGAATCTTTTGTGCATCATATATTTTCAACATTACCTCCATTTTCACAAAGTTCCTGTATGATGCAGAAAAAATGCATGCAAATACTTCAGGCTTTATTATGTACTGAACATTCTTGAAATACAATTTGATTAAAATTATTAAGTGATTTTAACTTTGTAAAACCTGTTGCGAATGGTTTGAGTGGACACCGATGCACTCGTTGACAATGACAGGCAGCTTCGGATGTCACGTTTTGTGGTAAACTGGTCCCGATGGGTCGGTCGGCGAATCTTCTGGTCTGTGCATTTTGTCATGCACTGGTGTGATCCACTTCCATCTTCGATGTCTTCGCAGATGTTGTATCCATGGTGTCACACATCGCTGGATGGTACTCATGTCGTGTCTAATACGTGTGGCAACTGCGCACATCAACAAACCGAAATCGCACAATTCCAGAATACGGTCTCGTTTCGTTAACTGGTGGTATTCAGCTCGCTGTGGTCTCCGAGGCATTTCCTATGCTTCTTCGAAAGTTCGGCAACCGCAATCCGTCGCTGATAGCATTTACGTCCCAAGCCGGCTGCTAGTCTTTATAGCCCAAAACTGGAAATCGGATGACCCGATAGGTACGCAAACTTAATCATTTGTATATCTCACTCACCTCTACTGGTCCTACAATTTGCACTTGGCTATGTGCATCCCTTCGTGGTATTGAAATTTCACTTTTGAGGAGAGTGTATTTCGCTTTTAATTTTATATGAGAAATTTGAAAAATATCAAGCACAGATATTTACATTTCAACCGTTGAATAGTTCAAAAGAGAAATAAGTCATTAATTTAAATTAATAAATAGCAATCGATCTTTTTACTTGTTAAGAATAGGACGCGACACGCTCCGTTATGATGACAAAAGCCGAACCCTTCGGGACATTCCAATTTTCAACGCGAGTGTTGAGTGTTGAAGTCAACAATTTGACGTCATCAACGACGTTCCAACTCGAGTACGAAGTGCTTAGTTCCCATAATTCCATTCTCAGCAAGATGGATTCCATTCAAATGTCTTACCAATTACCCACAATTCATTGGAAAGTAGCAGTCAACATATNTAAATCCAATGTAATACAACAGATGAGAGTTTTAGAAAAGAATTTAGACAATTTTAAAATAAATGCAATATCTTAAGTTGCATTTAAAATGCAGTATTTGATTGATTGATTGAGTATAGCAATTAACAGCACAGATAAATCTTCAATAGATATTCATATAAATTAGAGAATCTTTTGTGCATCATATATTTTCAACATTACCTCCATTTTCACAAAGTTCCTGTATGATGCAGAAAAAATGCATGCAAATACTTCAGGCTTTATTATGTACTGAACATTCTTGAAATACAATTTGATTAAAATTATTAAGTGATTTTAACTTTGTAAAAAATGTAATAATTAAACATTTTAGCTTCACTTATAATTTCAGAGAATTATATAAATTCATTGCATATATATAAATATATATATTTTTTTCATAAATAATTTTTTATAATACAAATTAAATTTTCAATATATTTATAATATATAATTTACTTTTACATTCAATCAATAGATTGGCCAAATTCAGTTAGTATATTACTACAAAATATAGAATAATTGCAAATAATTTTAAATAATGATTTTTTAAATATTTAGTTTGTGTGTAAACAGACATGCATGAACAGAATTATCAATTTTCAAAATTAATTTTAGTGCACAGTTCATAAAAGAATAATGGAATTAAAAGATGACAAATTCTTATATGAAGTCAGAATACTTTGAGAGAAAATAAGTAGAAATACTGTATGGTCTACATATTAAAATATTACTGCCAAATAGATTTTTGTTTGTTGGACCTTTGTCCAAAGGGAGAACATGTGGATCTTTTGAACTGTTTGAATGAATGGAAAAAAGTGCTTATGCAATCTCTGTTC